CAATTAAGTTGGGCATTTTGTATGGATTTACTTCTGTGTTTTCTATTCTTTACATTGATCTACATATCTATATCTCTGCCTACACCAATCAGTCTTGATTACTATGGCTAATTAATAAGTCTTGAAATTGGATAGACTGATTCCTCCCACTTTATTCTTGTTTTCAAAATTGCTTTAGCTATTCTACTTCCTTTGCCTTTGCCTATAAATGGTTGAATAATCTATATATACAAAAAATCTTGCTGCAATTTTGATGGGAATTGAATTAAACCTGTATATCAATTTGGGGAGAATTGACATCACTTCTATGGTCAGTATTCTAATCTATGAACATGATATGTCTCTCCATTTATTTATATCTTTGATTTCTTTCATCAGCATTTTGTACCTTTCAGCATGCAATTACTGTACATGTTTCGTTAAATTTACACCTAGGTATTTCTTTTTTTGAGTTATTATAACTGGTATTGCATTTTTAATTTCAGCATTCATATATTCATTGCTAGCATATGAAAATATAATAGGTTTTTGTGTGTTTTTCTTGTGTCCTGCAACCTTGTTGAAATCACTTATTAGTTCCAGGAGTTTTTTTGGTGATTACTTGAGATTTTCTATGTAGATAATCATGTCACCTCCAAATAGGAACAGTTTTATTTCTTCCTCTCCAAGGTATATGCCTTTCATTTCCCGTTTTACCTTATTGCACTAACTTGAATTTCCCTCACTATGTGAATAAGAATGATGAGAGCTGACATCCTTGCCTTTTTCCTGATCTCCAGAGAAAAGCATTCTGTTTTTCACTATTAAATATGTTAACTGTAGGTTTTTTGTAGACGTTCTTTATCATGTTGAGGAAGTTCCCCTTTATTCCTATTTTTCTGAGAGTTTTTATTATGAATATGTGTTGGATTTTGTCAAATGCCTTTTCTGCATCAATTTCTATGACCGTACGATTTTCCGTTTTTAGTATATTAATATAGTGGCTTACATTTATTCATTTTTTACTATTGAACCATCTTTGCATCCTTGAAAAAAAACCTCATTTGGTTACAATGTTTAATTCTTTTGATATGTTGCTGAATTTTATTTGCTAATATTTTGTTAAGGATTTTTGCATCTATATTCATAAGGGATATTAGTCTGCAGTTTTCTTTTTTGTAATGTCTTTGCTTAATTTTGCTATCGAGATAATTCTAGCTTCATAAAATGTATTGAGAAATGTTCTTTTCTCTTCTATTTTTGGGAAGAGGTTGTGTAGAATTGGTGTGAATTCTTCCTTAAAAGTTTGGTAGAATTCTCCAGGGAAACCATATGAGCCTGGAGATTCTCTGAGGAGGAATATTTAACTACTAATGCAATTTCCTTAGTAGTTATACAGTTATTCACATTATCCATTTTATATGGGGTAAGTTGTGGTAGTTTGCATTTTTCAAAGAATTGGGCCATTTCATTTAAGTTGTCCAATTTATGTGTGTAGAGTTGTTCATCGTAATCCTTTATTATTCCTTTGATGTCTGCAAGGTCTGTAGTGGTATCCCCTGTTTTATCCCTAATACTGGCAATTTATCTTCTCTCTTTTATTTTTCTGTGCTAGTCTCACTGGAAATTTGTCAATTTTTAAAATCTTTTCAAAGAGCCACTTTGTTAATACTGTGCCTTCTTTGGACAGTACTCCAACTGGGGTGCTGGGGCACCTTGTTGCAGCTTTATGAGAGTGTAAGTTTAGGCTCTCCACTAGGCCTTTGCTGGTGGGGGTGGGGCCATAGTTTTACTCGTGATGTTTGGCTGAAGTAGAGCGGTTACTGTCTAAAAGTTTTCTATCTTTCTAGGCTGCCTCTCTCCTGCCCCTTTGGCTAGTGAAAGCAGGCTTTTGTTAGGGCTTTTTATGTCTGTGCCTATTGAAATTTCTGGGTTGCTGGCTTCTTCAGCTTCAAGTCTGGGATATAACAAGGGATTTTCACATGTTGAGGTATATGGGGTAACTATTCAGGTTCAAAACTGATTCGGCTTGAACTAAAAAGCCTGACTTATGGCCTATGAAACATACATTGTACATCTGCTTTGACCATTAAATTAAAGGATGCACTCTCAAGATAAGAATGCATACTTTCCCTCCTACACTCTATTAGTAATGCCTGTATTAGTACTCCTAAAATAAGTTCCTTTTTCCAACATCAGGGTCATGTTGACCTGCTAATTTGCAACTAAATACCTCTTTGAAACTGATGAAAATGTATCCTAGATGTGTTTAATGTATGTTAATTCTTTGTAATAAAAATATGTAAGACTGTACTGAAAACCATGCTTCTCCGGAATGCTTTCTTCCTTTCTGGAAGAGGCCTTCCCAGGTTATAATCCTCACTTTGGCTCAAGTAAAACTCACTTTATTTCTCTTACCTATAGAATGGTTGGTTATTGATTATGTAACCTCGGGCCCTCCAGGACCAGTTCAACTGATCCCATCTTATCAACAGAGTAATTAAGAGTGGTTTTTCAGGAACTGAGACCCCTTGTCCAGTTCAGGTTGGTTGAGAACACCAACCCATCAACTGGGCCTCTGCAAATGCTTGAAAAAAGGCCAAAAACTCCACCCTCAGATAATGGTAAAGCTGCCACTTAGTGAACATGCATCCTATGAAGAGGCACGAAGCTTGACTATGCTTGCTCAGATCATCAATTACTTCACTTCTTACCTCTAATCATCTATTCCCACACTTCAGACCACCGTGCCCCCTACCCCATAAATATCCCTGAGTGCCCATTTTTGGGGAGGGGGATCTGAGAATGATTCTCCTGCCTCCTTGCTTGACTGCCTTGTGATTAAATCCTTTCTCTTTGCAAACTCCTTGTTTCGGTGATTGGCAAAAATCATGCAGTGGGCAAAGTGAACCCAGTTTAGCAACAGTTAGTTTTTGTCGACAGATATATATGAGTCAAAAAGAAAACGCAAGGAACTCACTACCATGTAGATCCTTTGATCCAGGGCCCTTTGCCCATCTATATTTTTCTCTCCACCTTTCAGAGTCTTTTTATGTTTGTTTTATATATAACATTCAGGGTTTTTAGTTGCACTGAATGGGAAGAATAGGTAAAAGTACATCTATTCCATCTTCTTGGAAGGAGATGACCCATTAGCCATGTTTTAAGTTATTTTCTAAGAGATGTTTTGTTATTTTGTTTTTAAATCAGGAAGAAGCTTGAATTCATAAAATGCCTTTTTAGCCTCTATTGATATAATGTGGTTTCCTGTTTGTATCTATTAATATGAAGATTATATAAATAGTTTTAACTAAACTTGTGTGGTGAATGTTATATAGTTGTCTACCCCTGTCCCCAAGCATACAGTAGAGGTTATAAACTCAAGTGGCTAGAGGGGTCTGGTAGGTAAAGTAAATGAGTAAGGAATGCTGGCTGGGACTTTTCAAGACTATGAGGAATAGTGGGTGCTGGGGTTAAAGGGGGAACTTGTGACTTGTCTGTAGGGAGAAAGTGCTACTCACCTCCAGTTGAAAGTTTCCACACAGAAATGGGTGCCTATTGCTTGCTGATCTTTGTTTTTGTTCCACAGAGACCAAAAATAAGAATTTCTATGGAAAATGTTCCAATTTTTAAATGTTGGCATCTAATTCATGAATATTGTTAAACAATATGTAGGTCAAACTAAACGTATCGTGGACCTGATTCAGTAAGAGGGCTACCATTTTGTAACTTCTGGCACAGGGATACTGATGAATCAAAATAAGGCTTCCTTTCACCTGAGATTAGAAAAGATTGCTTAGAGGGAATGTAAAGAGAACATAAATGCTAGGTGTGTCCTTAATAAAAAGACATAGCCTCATTTCCCCCTCCAACTTTGGGCCAAACTCCTGAGGGCATGTGAACTAAAATTCCAGAAGGTTTTTGGGGATTCAAAAGCAGAGTCCTTGTTCTTCCTTTCCTAAATAGAGTTCAGCACTCTGACAAGACTCAAGAATTTGCTTAGCTCAGTGTGATTTAGGAGTTTCATGTTGTGTCTTGGCAGATTGGACCGAGATTGCCTCATTTAGGGGCTGGGAGTGTGCCTGAGTTTACCTTGCTGAGACAGCACAGAGAGTGACCAAATCAATTTCTAGGAACTTAAGAGGGTCACAGAAGTTGAAATTCAGCTGAATTGAAGGGGTCTTTCAGATGGGAATGAAGGATTACACATCAATTCTTATGGAGGTTCATAAAAGAATGTGGCTTTAGTTATAAGATCAATTACATTTCTTTGACCATTTGAGTTTATGGGCCAAAAAATTGTGCCCTCTACACTGTCCTTTCTGCTATAAATTCTACCACATCCTAAGTTTGATGTGTAGTATTGTCATTTTCTGAATCATTTTTCATTACAACTTCAACTTTTGTTTGACACAATAGTTACCTCCCCCCATCCCAGACTTTATTTAGAGTTTAAAAATGCCTTTTCTATTTTATAGAACTTCAGTTGTTGTTCAGATCTGATTTCTAAAAATGCCAGCATATGAAACTGAATATTTTTATATCTGTGAAAACACATTTTTCAGAAACTCCTAAATATAAATATGATTTTCATATCTATGAAAATGTATATTATCGAAATTACCAAAGCCCCAATCTAGTTTAACCTTAGTGGTTATACTTGCTTTCTTAGATTGCTAAAAATACATAAGTCCAAACTTTGTCATCAATATCTTTGTGTCCACAATTTGCTCCTAAGGTTTTTTTGTTTGGTTTGTTTTTCCTCATTACTCTCTCTCTCAAAGCTACTTGCACACATTATACATATTTTTCTGGTTTATTTTCATTAAACTATACACTCTATGTAGGGCCAGATAGAGATGTCTTTCAATGTTATTTAAAAGCTAATGTGGTCAGATAATTGAAAGCAATCGACATATAATAAAGCTAAAGTTACTTTGGCAAGGTCATAGACATTTCTAGAATCAGCTTTATTTGTGTGATGAATCTCTGAGGAAATGTCTCCTCCTCAGGGTGCCTTGTGTATCTAAGACAGAACTATATGTCCCCTCCACACACTCTCTAACCTTTTACCTGGTGTTCTTTTTCTCTATAGCAATTTATCTTCATCTGACACACTATTTTACTTGTTAATAGATTCTAGGCCTGTGTTGCCAAACTTGGTCTGATTTGTTCACTGATGTAGTCCCAACTCCTCCAATAGTGGTTGGCAAACAGTAGCTCTTAACTAAATGTTAAATCAAAATATGTCCAATGATCTAGAAGCTGCCTAATGCTCAGAATGACTGTTCAATACCAGATTCTCCAGTGGAGCAGAAACACATTAATTAGAAGACATCTAAAAGTGAATAACTTTTTTAGAGTTTTTTCCCCAGCCATTTCCTCCTTTAACATGGTAATTAATGCTCACTGGCCTGGGAGTAGCCTCTATCTATCAACCTTTGGTCAGTGAAGAAGTTTCAGAGAAAATAATATAATTATCAATCATTAAAAGGAGGGGGGACAAAGGAAAAAATTAAGTGGTAGCCTCAGTGGAGCATTCCCGGGCTAGATGTCCGGACTCGCCACATCGGTAGCAATTGACCTCACTCGTCTTGCTGCAGTTGATGGCCACGTGGCCGTTCTTGCCACACCGGTAGCACTTGACTTGGGTGCAGTCTTTCTGAAAGTGGCCATATTCGCCGCAACAGTAGCACTTCCGCTCTTCCTGACGGTCACAATCACGAGCCAGATGGCCTCGCCTGCCACAAGTGTAACAGCACTGCTCTCTCACTCGCTTAGGCTCCATACAGTCTTTAGCAATGTGGCCACTTCTCTCACAGTTGTAGCAGACGTCCTCGAGATGGTCACAGTTCTTAGCATGATGACCAGACTCACCGCAGCGGTAACAGATGTCAGGTAGGGTGGTGGAACTGCACTGAGAACCTCTGCCACGGCCTCTAGCTCCGCACCCTCGAGCTCTTCCTCTAGGGCATCCCCGCGCCCAGTGGCCAGAGCGTCCACACTTGAAGAATTCCTTACTGCTCATGGCTGCGGTGAGATCTTCAGGTGAGCAGGCTCACTGCTGCCCGGAGGCCCCGGCGCAACTCCCTTAGGGTGGCTTAGAAAGAAGTGGCCGTTTTTCTCTAGGGGCCTCAGCGACGTCACACAAGGTTTGCGCACGGCCTCATTCATGTGTCACAGGCATTCCAGCTGCCTTTCTCGCCTGATTTTCCTCCTATCCTTGAAGCCAAAAGCATAGCTGAGTGGTGGTGTTTTCCTTTTGTTAAAAAATAAACACTTGGGTCGTTGAGTTTGAGTTCGAATCCCTCCCTGAATGTGCCCTGTAGGATTTCTTATAATTAAGACTTAGGCCTTCATTGCAGTCTAGTAGATGACCAGTTTGTGCATATCTGCTGTGGACGTAGGAAAAGTATGTGTGAGATGTATCTAATCCAGTAAACGAAAGAAACAAAGTACAACAAATTAGAATAACTCATTATTTTTGTTTTAAAAAATAAAATATAGTCATAAACCAATGTTACAGCAATAAACAAAAAATTTAAAAAAAAATAAAAAAATAAAGGTAAATACTCAACCATTAAAATAAATAAATAAATAAAATAAAACATAAAAGTCTGTAAAGATATGAGATACATAAGGCAGAAAAAAATCTGTAAAATGCCACAGTCAGAAGATTTACTCACAATTTAGCCTGTTTTATTGCAGGAATCTTAGTTTTCAACATAATCACTGCCATTTAAGTTGTAAAACATAACACGATTGAAGGATTCAGTATGAAGAAAGTGATATTACTTGGAAAATAAATTACAAAATCATAATTTAAATATTGGACAGATTTCCTCTCTGTTGTTTTTCAGATTGTTTATATCTTATATAAACCTCATAAGGATTTATGGACATGCTCATTTATATAGATATAGAAATAAATATGGAAAACTAGATACTGAAATATCAACAGTAGCCTTTTGGGGGTTATATGATTGAATACGACTTTTTTTTCTCCTTATTTTCCTTCTCTGTACTTTACAATTTTTTTTTAATTTTATTTATTTATTTTTTTCCCCCAAAGCCCCAGTAGATAGCCGTATGTCATAACTGCACGTTCCTCTAGTTGCTGTATGTGGGACGCAGCCTCAGCATGGGCGGAGAAGCAGTCTGTCAGTGTGCGCCCGGGATCTGAACCGGGCCGCCGGCAGCGGAGTGCGCGCACTTAACCGCTAAGCCATGGGGCCGGCCCCTACAATTTTTGAAGTGAGTTTAGGATATGTAATTTTAAAAATCTATAATAAGTATTTTTCTTTAAGTTACTAGTTAGCTATATGTTTTGCGTGTGAATTTTTTTCAGGCAGCCAGTACAAATGTATTTGGTAAAACACAGACTTACGAATAGTGAATGTAGCAGTTAGTCTTTATTTTCAATACAACTTGATTGGAATGTGTAACTGGTTCCATAAATGCAACCACAAAGAAAAGTGTTTTCAAAAATTAATAAAAGTTTAGAGCCAAAGAGCATGAGCAGTTGCCACATACAGAGTAATGAAATGAGTTTTATTCCTAAAAAATCAAATGGTGCTGCATAAATGGTTTCAAAAGGCAAAAATTCCCTCTGTGGTTCAAAATTTGATATACATTTATAAATCTTATTAATTATGTTTAAATCTCTCTTTAGGTTTATATTTTTATTAAAGTAATACATGCCCATAGTTTAAAGCATTGATTTTCAAACAACTTTGAGACATGAAGTAAGAAATGCATTTTACATCACAATAGAGGATATATATATATGCATATGTGTGTGTGTTATAACTCAAATAAGCTTAAGATGAAAAATTTACCCTTAATGTGTGCAATGCACTTTTTTTTGTGTGTGTGTGAGGAAGATCAGCCCCGAGCTAACATCCACGCTAATCCTCCTCTTTTGCTGAGGAAGACCGGCTCTGAGCTAACATCTATTGCCAATCCTCCTCCTTTTTTTTCCCCAAAGCCCCAGTAGATAGTTGTATGTCATAGTTGCACATCCTTCTAGTTGCTGTATGTGGGACACGGCCTCAGCATGGCCTGAGAAGCAGTGTGTCGGTGCGCACTGGGATCCGAACCCAGGCGCCAGTAGCGGAGCACTTGCACTTAACCACTAAGCCATGGGGCCGGCCCATGTGCAATGCACTTTTGATGTTTTCTATTCATGTTGTAAAAAAATGCTGGTGGCGACCCATTAAACTGAGCTCTCAATTCACTAAATGAATATAATTCACAGTTTGAAACACACTGATTTAAAGAGTCATAACTATAAATACTGCTTATATTATGACTTGATGTTTCAATTTTAGACATTATCTGTGATTTTTCATTCTAGAGAATGAAGATTTAGCCCTCTTTTACCTACACCATCTTTTGGTCCACCTCATGCACTTGCACACTTGAAATTCTTCACTCCGCCCACCCACTCCTTCACCTTTCTATAATACTGGTTGGATCAATATCCAATGTTTACATAATTATAACTATGTAAATGCTACTCGTGGGTGAGCCATAAATACTCTGATAACTTTTCATTACCTGCACAGCTTTTTGACTCCTGGAGTTAATTACTGTCATTCTTCATTTCCTTAGTTTCTCATATACTTATCTCAATTCTACTTCATAGATCTATATGGCTATCTTTATACCAGTACCATACAGTCTTCATTACTGTAGCTTTGTATTTTGTCTTGAAATTGGGAAGAGTGAGGCCTCCAACTTTGCTCTTCTTTTCCAAGGTTGTTGTGACTACTCTGAGTCCCTTGCATTTCCATATGAATTTTAGTGTCAGCTTGTTAATTTCTGCAAAAAAGGCAACTGGGATTTTGATATATATTGTGGAATCTGTAGATCAATTTGGGAAGTATTATCTTAACAATATTAAATCATCCAATACATGAGCACCTAATGTTTTCCCATTTATTTAGGTTTTTGTTTTCATTCAAAAATGTTTTGTAGTTTTCAGTGTATAAGTCTCACACATCTTTTGTTAATTTTTTTCCTAAGTATTTCATTCCTTTTGACGCTATTGTAAATGGAATTATTTTCCTAATTTCATTTTTGAGTTGTTCATTGCTAATATATAGAAATACAATGATTTTTGTATATTGATCTTTGATTCTGCAACCTTACGGAACTGAACTGATTTCATAGTCCCAATAGTTTTTAGTAGATTCCTTAGGACTTTCTATAGATAAGATTATGAAGATTATGTCATCAGCAAGTAGAGACAGTTTGAATTCTTCCTTTTCAATCTGGGCGCCTTTTATATCATTTTCTTGCTTAATTACCCTGGCTAGAACTTCCAGTACAATGTTGAATAGAAGTGGTGAGAGCAGACATCCTTCTCTTGTTCCTGATCTTAGGGGGAAAGCTTTCAGTCTTTAAGACTGAATTATGGTGTTAGCTACGAGTTTTTTATACATATTCTTTATCAGATGAGGAAGTTCTTTTCTATTCCTAGTTTGTTGAATGTTCTTATCATGAAGGGTTGTTGGATTTTGTCAAATGCTTTTTCTTCATCTCTTGAGTTTGCCTTGAATTTTTGCATTTGCTAGAACTACCAATACATCATTGAACACAGATTGTGAGAGTGGACATCCTTGTTTTGTTCCTGATCTTAAGGGGAAAGCTTGCAGTCTCACTATTAACTATGGTGTTAGCTATGGGCTTTTGGTAGATGTGCTTGATCAGGTTGAGGAAGTTCCCTCCTAGTCCCAGTTTAATAAGCATTTTTTTTAATCATGAAAGTGCATTGGATTTTGTCAAATTCTTCTGTGGCTATTGAGATGGTCATGTGGTTTTGTCATTATTCTATTAATATGGTATATAACACTGATTTTTATATGTTCATCTAACCATGTGATCAAGGTGTATAATCCTTTTTATATGCGGCTGGATTTGGTTTGTTAGTATTTTGGTGAGGATTTTTGCATCCGTATTGATAAGAAATATTGATCTGTGTTTTTTTTTTATTCTTGTCATATCTCTGTTTGGTTGTCATTTCAAGGTAATACTGACCTCAAAGAATGATTTTGGAGGTCTTCCCACCTCTTCTATTTTTTGGAATAGTTTGTTAAGAATTGATACTATTTCTCCTTTAAATGTTTGGAAGATTTCACTAGTGAAGCCATCTCAGCCTGGGCTTTTCTTGTGGGAAGTTTTTAAATTACTAATTTAGTTTCTTCTTATAGGTCTATTCAGATTTTCTGTTTCTTCTTGAGGCAGTTTTGGTAGTTTGTGTCTTTCTAGGAATTTGCCTATTTCATCTAGGTTATTTAGTTTATTGACATATAGTTATTCATAGTATTCCCTATATTCCTTTTATTTCTGTAAAGTCAGTAGTGATGTACTCTCCTTCATTCCTGATTTTAGAAATTTGAGTCTTTTCTCTCTTTTTCTTGGTCAGTCCAGCTACAGGTTTTTAAAATTTTGCTGATCTTTTCAAAGAACCAACTTTTGGTTTTGTTGATTTTCTATATTGTTTTTCTATCCTCTATTTCCTTTATTTTCATGCTAATCTTTACTATTTCCTTCCTTCTGCTTGCTTTAAGCTTAGCTTGCTCTTCTCTTTTCGGTTTCTTAAGGTGGAGGATTTGGTTATTGATTTGAGATCTTTTTTCTTTTATAATATAAGTGTTTACAGCTATAAATTTACCTCTGAGCACCACCTTAGGCTGCATCCTATAAATTTTGGTATGTTGTGTTTTATTTTCATTTATCTCAAAGTATTTCCTAATTTTCCTTGTGATTACTTCTTTGACTCACTGGTTATTCAGGAGTGTAATGTTCAATTTCCACGTATGTGTGAATTTCCCAAATTTCCTTCTGTTATTAATTTGTAATTTCATTCTATTGTGATCAGAGGACATATTTTATATAATTTTAATCATTTTACATTTATTGAGACTTATTTTATGGCCTAGTATATGGTCTATCTTGGAAAATGTTCCATGAGTGCTTGAGAAGAACGTTTATTCTGCTGCTATTGGTTAGAGTATTCTATAGATATCAATTAGATCAATTGGTTGATACTGTTGTTCTAGTTTTCTATATCATTGCTGATTTTCTGTTTACTTGTAGCATCCATTATTGAGAGTGGAACATACAAGTCTCCAACTATTATTGTTGGATTATCCATTTATCTATTCAATTTTGTCAGTTTTTCCCATGTATTTTGGGGCTCTTTTTTTAGGTGCATATATGTTATATATATATTAACAGTTATAAAACTGTTATGGTTTCTTGATGAATCAAACCTTTTATCATTATAAAATGCTTTAACCCTTTAAATATTTCTCAGAAGTGTTATATTTCTTTCCATCCCACTAATACTCTAAAGCAGCCATACATCAACTCTTGACTAAGTGATTTTTCTAAAATGCAGTCTATCACATCACTCCCTTGCTTAAAATCTTTCTCTCCAATAATTACTAGATAGACGCTGTTAGGCCCAAGAGAGGAGGTAATCTTCCCAAGATCAGTGGATTGGCCCATTCAATCTTCATTTAAGTCTCTTTCTTGTTTGAGAAGTTGGAAAGTCAATAAGTCCACTTTCTATACTCCCTTGCAGCCATAGTTCTGGAGGCAAAATAGGGTCCATCAATTAGAATCACTTCCTCAAGATTTGGAAGGCAAATGTGACATCTTTCAGCCACATTTTGTCTGTTCTTGTTGGCAAGTGAGTTGTGCAGACTTGCCACATAAATAAAATAACATTTTGGTGTTCATTCACCAGCTTTGTATGCCAATAATCAGCTATGGTGGTGATAGCAGCAGCAGTGGTTTTTCATTTTGGCTTTCAGTTTCCTGGATCACAGCTCTTGAGGTGTGTTCTTGAATTCATGGATCCAGTTGCAGCCACATAGTTACTAGCAACTCTGGTTTGTCAGTTCTATATTCTTCTGGGAGTTATTCCCTGAGACTCAGCCTAGAACCTGTTCCTCTTTTCCTTTCAAGTAGTTTGTAAGCATCCAATTTTCTGTATTAAATTTCTTCCTACATCTAAAATCCAAATGGGTTTCCTGCTCCTTACAATGAGCCCTGATTGATACAAACATCCCCCAAATTATAATTATGACCCCGTTAAAAACACACGTCATCTTAAATGACACTTGTTTGCTTTATAACCACATATCTTTATTGCCCATATACAAAAGTGGATCAATTCTAGGCCCTAGTGTATCTCATTTTTTTTCCTCCAGTCTGGATTTTGTTGCAAGAGGTCTTTCTCTGCATAATTTATCCGGGAGTCAATAATCAGATCAATCCGGTTTCTTGGTCTCTTAGTCATCTTGTTCACATATTCAAACTAAGCTTTAGCAATGAAATCAAGGCCTTGATTAACATGAGTTTGTTACTGTAGCATCTTGCCAGTCTCTGCTTTTCCCATTGCCTCATTCCCCAAAGTCACAAAGAACAGACCATTTCTCCTTGTGCCAAAGTAGACTGGTACTATCATGGAAAAATTATTGGACTCTAAGAAGACAAAGGTACTTCTTACTTCCTCAGTTATTTTTACATCCTTATAATGGTAGTTTTGCAGAGTTAAGGCCAATCTCATGTCAGATTTAGTCAGTGTACAATTTGGCAAGGCAAAGCTGTATGCAAGGGACTGATAGAGTTTTCTTGATTACTTCTCCTTCCTGCACCCCAACCTCAATTCAGGGTATTCACAGGTTTCAGGAAATCCTCTGTGTTAGGGTTCTTCAGAGAAACAGAACCAGCATGAGATATCTATATGGATTTATGGATTTATTTTAAGGAATTAGTTCACATGATTATGGAGGCTGGGAAGTCGAAAATCTGCAGAGTAGGCTAGCGGGCTGGAGACCCAAGGAAGAGCCAGTGCTATAGATCAAGTCCAAAGGCTGTCAGGCTAAGGACCCAGGGAAAAGCAGATGTTGCAGTTCAAGTCCAAAGGCTGACTGCTGGCAGAATTCTCTCTTGCTCGGGGGAGGTTAGCCTTTTGCCCTATTCAGGCCTTCAACCGATGGATGAAGCCCACCCACACTATGGAGGGCAATCTGCTTTACTGAAAGTCCAACAATTTAAATGTTAATCTCATGCAAAAACACCCTCACAGAAACATCCAGAATAATATTTGACCATATATCTGGGAACCATGGCCTAGCCAAGTTGGCATATAAAATTAACCATCACATCCTCTAAAAGAGTGTCATTCTCCTAAAAAATGTATAGGGTGGGGAAAACAGAAATAGAGCCTCGGAATGTTAGCTTAAGATGGGTAGATACAGTAGAGGTCCCCGAATTTCTCTTTTACCCTTCCTGAGGAACTGCTTATGAACAGGGAAGTTCAGACAAATAGGTAGGTGCAGGACCCTAAGTATTTTATAGGGTTCAAGATTTACAAGCTGTGCCTCTTTCTTGAATTTCTCTTCAGATGGGACCATAGTAGATTAGGTAAGTTTTGTCAAAAGGAAGAGAAGTGGAAAGAGCAAGTAACTCCATCTGTGAGAATCACGATGTGCCAACTTCAATTTTACAATACTTAAAAAAAATGGAACACTGTCTATTTATTAAAAATGATAAAGATGATAATTGGGAATCTGGAAAAATAGTTAAAACAACACATTATTACATCTATAAAAATGTTGATGTTAAAACATTACATATTTAAACAAAAATTGAAAGAACACAAAGATATACTAATGAGCAAGTTTCTTTTTGGGGTGATGAAAAATTCTAAAATTGTGGTGATGGCTGTACAACTCTGAATATACTAAAATCCATTGCATTGTACATTTTAAGTTAGTAATTGTATGACATGTGAATTATATCTCAATAAAACTCTTATAACAAAAAAGAGAACACAAAGAAATGAAAACATTTGTTATAGTAGTGTTGTAGAATTCTGGGAAAATTTTCTTTTATTTTAACTTTTGTACAATAATAAATGATTCTTTTAATTTAGGAAGGAGGGTCTTTGTACTACTATAACTTTAGTCATTTCTAGTTACCTCTTTTTTTCATTCTGCATTTTGCATATTGTTGTGCATATTATGTAAAAAACACAAACTTCCATTATTTCTCTCAATACTGTTAATATGACATTCTTAACAAGTTAATTAGAGAAGATGATGATGTACACATTTTATGGGTCTCAGGATTTATGGATTTGTGGGTCTTGGTTTTTGATATTTCCAAACTGGCTTTCTTAGAAAGCAAGAAGAACCAGCCACCAAAGTAAAACATCATAAAGAGAAACAAAATATTATTTTGTATTCTCTCCTCACATCTGAAGAGGAAACTATTTCAGAGCCTGTTGAATAAATGACGCTACTCTCTTAAAATTAATATGTGAATTTCTCACAGAAGACAGGAACAAGCCTTGTATTTAGCAGTAAAGGACACTGAAGAATATTTTTAACGTCTGGACAATACCAGGATTGTGAAGAGAAAGAAAAAGGTATTGCATACTGCTTCTTGCCCCCAAACTGACTGAACACTCTTGCCCTTTTTGCTCTGTGCAAGGGGTCTTTTGGCTCCATCTCTGGGTCTTCTCAGTGGGTTCATCAGTCAACCGTTTTGTTTGCCCGGCACTAGCTGGTTGGGCCCAGCTTGAGAACTGCTTTGGAGAACATTATGTGGATAGAACACCTTTTTTACAACATTTTTTGCAGTTTTTTTTTTTTTTTTTTTTTTTTTACAATTGGCAACATCAGGCACACAAGGAGAGGAGTAGGAACCCAGTAGGGCTGCAGACCGGCAGGGAAGGACAAGAATGGAAGGGTAGGCCACTAGGATAAGAGAGCGAATAAAGGCAGTCAACAGGGAGACTTGGCAACGAAATGGTGGACTAAGATGAATGGGAGAGGGACTGACGAAGGAAGGATGGGCTGAGGGAGGGGTGGTGGTGGAGGTCGGTGTGACCAAGGGGAGGAAAGGAGGAAGAAGCAGGATGGGTTAGGGACCTGGTCACTGGGGAATAGGTGAAGAACGCCGGAGAGTTAGCTTTAGAAAGGCGGGGGTGGGTGCTGGCGGAGAGAAGAGGGCGTGCTTAGCGCATGCGCCGGAAGCATACTGCAGAGATCCCGGAGAGGCAGTCCTTGACTGGCGTTAGCGCTGCAAGTGCAGGCACGGCTGATCCTCTGTCCGTTGCCACCTTAGCCTGCTGCTGCCACCCTGGCGCCGCGAACTCTGTGCCTCCACCTTGTCTTGGGACGGCCGGCGCTAAGAATTCATGCTACGACAGTTGATTTAGCCAGAAGGTAAAGGAACGACGTAGGGGAAGAACATGGAGGGCGGCGGAGGGAACTCGGGCCAGGGAGATCCTTAATTTGTGTGTTTTCCCGGTTCACGAGAGGAAAAAATGGGGGACAGTATGGGCCTCAGACCTTCAAAAGGATGTTGAGCATTTACTTCTCATTGTGAAAGGAATACCGACTCCTTTCCTCTAACCAAGGTTGAGGCACCTGAGCGTCGGTCTTTCCCCAAACGTTCCCTGTTTAACAATTTTGGAGTTCTTCATATGTAGCAGAAGGTGTATTTAAAGGGCAGGGCCATAGGACCAGGCTCATCCGATTATGAGAGCTTTCTTTGCCTTTGTTTAGGGTGGAGGGTCTTATTACGGAGTCCGAGGGTACTCTAGCCCCTCCCTGGGGGTCGGGGCGGATTCCATCTAGATTTGGCATCGGCTCCGATCACCTGCAATGCCGTCTTTCTCGTACTCCACTTCCCTAGATTATCACACCTACCCCCATTAGGGAAGCCTGGCTCTCCTTGAGCACTGGGGCACAACGGTGGCGAGAAATACGTCCAGATGTCATCAGGCATGTATACATACAAAACGGAGGTGGGAGGGCAGAGACTAGGGGAGGACAGGCGCAGTGCGCATGTGCGTTTGAGTGGCTGGGGCGGCGCGGCGCGGCAGAGCGCAGGTATATTTGAGAAGGCCTGACGTGAGGGGGAGGTATGCACGCGCAAGGCCTGGGGCAGAGAGGGGATCTAAAGAGTACTTAAGAAGGCAAAGTTGCTAGTAAGTAGTTGGCGTCAGCGGTTGGGAGAGAGAGTGAAGGTGCGCATGCGTATTGGAGACAACATTGTGACGGTTGGCTTTAACGGTAGGAGGGGGAGAGGCGCGCATGCGTATTGCAGACGGAATGTCGGAGAGGGGAGGCGTGCAGTGTACGTGTAATTAAGATTGCAAAATGGCGAGGGGGGAGGTAAGTTGTGTTTGCTTGGGCGTCTTGGGCTAGGAGGGCCTGCAGAGAAGCAGATCTACCTTTCTAGCTGGGTGAAGGAATCAGCCTGAGTTGGAGTTGTCCTAGGCTGTGGCCAAATCCACCAGAAATTAACCCAGAATCTTACTAGCCTATTGATAATGTGGGTTTAAAAATGCAGAGGCGATGATGACTCTATAAAAGGTTGCGGCATCTGGCTGTGTGTAGGAAATTCGTCAAACGAGAGCGCTTGGAGACAGGCCGCATTCGGGCAGTACACATTTGGAGGGCTCTCTGTTGGACTTGCAGATCTTCGGCCGCTGTACTTGGCTCTGGACACGTTGTCTCATCCCATCAGAGCAGCAGAACACAGTGTTTGCAATATTGTGAGAATCTACTGTTATATTGGTCAGAAGCCCTTGATTTTCTCCCCTTGAGAATACAGGGGTGAGGATTTGGCTGTTTCCACATGCTTGTTACACTTTGCTTTAAATCTAGGATTTGGACAAATGGTAATGGTGGTATGAAGGTGACCTGAGCCCACACCCGTTCCTCTAAATTATTTTTTTCTGTAGAACTCTGAGCACGGTTTCGTCTAGGGGGAAGATTTTTTTTTTTTTTTAGGCAGCCGTACTGTCATGGCTGTCAGTGAAGATCTATTGTTAATCGCTGAAACTAATAATTTAGCACTTAGATATGTAGAAAGGGCACAGGATTCAAAATTGAGGAGACAGGTGTTTTCCAGTAATCCTAGCTGTGATCTCATGCTAGTCCTTTTCCTTCTCTGGGCCTATTTCCCTATCTATAATAGTAATTATACTTAAACGGTCTATAGCACTTAAACTGTGTGCCAGGTCTATGTGCTTTTACACATGCCTTAACTCATTTAGTACTCTCGACAGTCTTATGAAATAGCAGTACCATTATTCATCTTTTACAAAGAGAAATTTGAGGGACACAGATTAAATAATTTGTCCAAGGCTTTACATCCAGTCGAATGGCTGAAACTGGATTTTTATCCAGGTAGTATGGCTCCAGAATCCTCTGCTTTTAAGTATTAGGCTTTATCCCCTAAAATGAGGGGGCAAATTTAAAGGACCCTTCTTTTATGATTTCAAATTTTGTTTGTAACTTACCTATGCTGTTTAGGAAAGGAGATCTGTTTGCTGTTTTTTACTCAGTGCATTGTACAGGGTTACATATGTGGAAGACAAAAAGTAAAGAATTGTTGATTTGGAGCCTAGTAGGGTGGCCATCCTTATCTGCTGTTACTCTTGTCTTCTGTGCTTTTTGTTCTGCAGAGGGTTTAAAATGGCCGACTGCAGCACGCTGGACACACCCTTCTTGTTTTGCCTGATTTGAGATCTGGTGTAACGCTTTCAGACAACCGGTCATTTGCTACAGTAGAGATTTTTTTCTTACCCATTGTTAATATTTTGGTGTGTTAATAATACAAATGTCCAATAGTAAAGGAAAGGTTATTGCTTTTTTTTCTTATAATAAAAGACTGAAAATACATGGATTTCTTTTATTATTTGGTTAGGTTTATTATTTGGTAATTCGTTGAAATGGAATTACTACGTCAAAGGGTATGAACATTTTTTAACACTCAATGTGTATTGCCAAATTTCTTCCCAAAAAGGTTGTACCAATTTTTACTCACACAAACATTGAGTAGTGTTTATTTAAAAAAATTATTTTGTGGATAAAAAATAGTATTATTTTAATTTTGCATTTCTTTGGTTATTGGTTTGGATTCTTTTTTCCATATGTTTCTTAACAGTTATATTTTCTTTCATGTGATGTTAGTTCATGTCTTATACTGACATATCTGTTGGAGTTTTAGTTTAATGTTTATTATTATCTATTTGAATGTGTTCTGTAAATAAAGGCTATTACTCAGATTTCTGTATTGTTATAAATATATACTCCAAGTTATTGTTTGCCTTTTAATTTTTGTTTTTAAATTTTTGGTTAATTAGAGATTTGAAATCGTGGTCAAATCTGTCTTCTGTTTTGTGATTTTTCTTCCATTGTTTCAGTTTGAATAGTTCCCTCAATCTAGAAATTTGGTAAATATTCATTGTTGCTTTGTCTGAGGAAAACCATCAAGTATGGGGGAAAAAAGATCCATCGTTTCACCACCCAGAGATAACCAGTGTTAATAAATGTGTCACTTCTTTTCATTCTCTCTGTATTTTTGTAGAGTTGATCATATATATTTGTACTATTTTATATTGTGTTTTGTGTTTAACATTATAACATGCATTTTTTTCCATGTTAAACATTCTTTATAATTGTCATTTAATGATTTCGTGATATTTTGTTGTGGAAAGTATTTTATGGAAGTATTTAAAATTTTTCATAATTTTAAATTCTGTAATGAATGTCTTTTCATTTAGTTTTATTGATTGTCTATTTTGAGTTATTTCTTTATAGAATAGAGTTCCAGAATTGGAATTATTCATCAAAAAGTTTGAACATTATAAAGACTTGCCATAATAGCATCCCCCCAAATTGTCAGTTTTTGTACCCAGTCATTTAGGTAGTTAATTTTTTTTTTCCTAACCTTATATGTAAAAGAACGGTATCTTTGTTTTTTTGAGACATTTCTCTGATTATTAGTGACGCTGAACTCTCAGATGTTAATTGTTAGCTTTTATTTCCTTTTGTGACCTATTCAATTTGAGTCCAAATGTTATCTGTTTCTAAGAGCTCTGTATTTTGTGCTCTAGGGATCTATTACCCCTTGTTATTTGTGGCAAATGACAAATATCATTTACTGCACATACACTCCTGGTGTATATTTGTTGCCATTGAGTCTGAAGAAATGTTCATGATTCCAAAGACATCTGCTGTGTGGAATACATGATTCTTGGTAGCCATTTTGAGATAACATTTGTCTGTCCTTTAAATAGATAGCCTTTTTTTTTAATTTTTTTGTTTATTGCAGTAACATTGGTTTACAACATTGTAAAAATTTCAGGTGTACATCATTATACTTCTATTTCTGCACTCTTGAGTGCTGCACAGCAGTGGTGCTCCCTTGCTATGGGTATGGGGAGAAGACATGGCAACATTTTGTCCCTAATAAGAAACCAACCTTGACAAGACACAAAACAGTAGTCCCCTCTCCCTCATCCATTCAGGGACTGATCTCATTTTGAATATGAGTGATCTGGGGGAGGATATGGACACAGTGTAATGTCCACATTTATAGATAACAACACTAAGCTCTTTGGTGATGTAAAATGCTAATAGGAACAAACTGCAATACCTGAGAAGGCATTGTGAGTGTGGGCTGACAATTGGCAGAATGGAACAGTCTAGGTAAGAGCAATGAAATGACTTTAGGGAGAAAAACGTATGTTAAACATATAAAATAATGGCCTCAGAGACTGTGGGTCCCAAGACAGGGATCTCAGTATAAATGGCAACAGTTTATTGATGTCATCAGTTCAACTTGCTAGTGCAGGGACAAAAGAGCCATTAAAAACCTAGGCCTGGGCCAGTTCCAGTGACCTAGTAGTTCAAGTTCAGTGTGCTCCACTTTGGCCACGCGGGTTTGGTTCCCGGGCGTGGACCTATACCACTCGTCTCAGTGGCCATGCTGTGACAGCTGCTCACATACAAAATAGAGGAAGACTGGAAACGGATGTTAGCTCAGGGTGAATCTTCCTCAGCAAAAAAGAGGAAGATTGGCAACAGATGTTAGATCAGGGCAAATATTCCTCAGCCAAAAAAATAAAAATAAAAAAACCCAAAAACCTAGGCCTTACCAAGAATGGTATGGGACAGAAAAATTTCGTCCTATCTTTGTATAAATCACTTAAACCAAATGACTAGTTAACATTAATAATCTCTCAGGGAATCTCTTACTGTATCACTCACTGAATTTTGAAAAGGGGGTAGGAAGAGTGTGCTAGCCTCTCTGTTTCACTCACTGAAATTTGAAAAGTGGTAGGAAGAGTGTGCTAGCCTCTCTGTTTCATTTTTCTTATTTATAATGTATAGGTGATGTGTATTAGATATTCTTAAAAGTCTTGTGG